ATCTACACCTTTCGATGAAGCTCTCATGTTTATACGTAATTCAAATCACACTCGAAGTTCGTGCTACTTGCAGCAACAGAACGATTGCTTCCGTTCTGAGTACTCTTCTTTGGCGCTGATTGTGAATCAGACATTCATTGGGCTTCTGAGGCAATGGCTGGCTTCCTGAGGGCTGTGAATCTTTGGATTGAAAACCTTTGTCGGAGACTTCGTTTCATAAGGACCATTACGATATCTACGCTGTGATTACTGGGAGAGCATTTTACTTCTTCCACCCACTGATGTTCATAGATGTACATTAGAGACTACCCGCTGCTCATTACATTTATTCTCAGGTCCATTACCTTGTTTTGTTCTCTTCATTCACGTTTCTATGTAAGTTTTGTGGGTATGATGTTTTTGTTTTTTGTTTTTTTTTGGGTAACAAGATTTTTTGATGTTGTTTTTAGGATACAGGAGAGTTTGCATTGGAGCTTGACGATCAGTTGGTATGTGCCTTGGTGCAGTGTGAATCCTTACCCTTCACCAGAGAATAAAGAGAAAGAAGTGTCCAAGTTTCCTTTATTTTTTGAAGGACCAAAGCCATTCGAGGTTACAGTTAATGCCGGGGATCCTTTACCTGTGAGCTTTCTACTCTCGATGATCCAATTAGTTCTGTGTATACGCGGTTCTCATTAACTTTGAATGCACCCATCTGTTTATGCTTAATTTTGGCTCTCTAGAATGACAATATGATGTATAAGCTCAGGAAATCTATAGTACACATTTCTAAACAGAAATTCTAAAACGCATAAAATAGAGTTTGTATGTGGAATCACATTAATTTATGAACTTCAAGTTGGATGAATTCATAGATTAAATTACGAGGGATGTGCAATGAATTTACTTGGCTCAAAAACATCAGATGTTTCTATTCAGATTTTAGTGTAGCCCTCTAAATGAAGGTGGCTAGCCGCTAGGCAATTAAGTGAGGCTAATGAGAGAGGACTCTAAGAAAGTTTGCAAGGTGTTGTATAAAGGAAGAAAGAGATACTAAGGACAACGGAAGCAAGGAAATGAATCTGATTTAGACTTCAAACACTAGGGGGTGGGGAGATGAATAACAATTGTTTCAGGGATTGGGATGATGTCAATCGTGTAGATTGGGAGATGAGAAAAATATGCTTGGGTAATTTTTGCTTACTGCAAATCCACAGTTTTCCCTTGTTCTATGATCTACTAAGCATTTCATATTGATGGACACTGTTTCTTTCAATTTTCCCATGGTGATGAGTTATCTTTTTTATTCTTTGGCTTCATCAATTTTCTTCTCATTCTTGTACATCCTCATATACTGGTGCAAATATTTCCATAGAATTGACATGACTTTGTGTGCAAAACATTTGCTAATGTTGATTACGCCCTCTAATAATGCACTTTCTTGATTCTCATTTTATTTCTCTTTGTCACCTGATATGAATTAGTTTACCTTGGCGAAAAGAAAGAAAGAAGTAATGCTAAAATGTTTGTGAAGGTTACTATTACTTTTCAGGGACTGGAACCTGGTTGGTTTAACGTATTGAGCTTTTTGTTAAGGGGTCAAATCCATTGGTGACCCATTCAATCCCTTCTTTCAAAGGCCTTTGGCTCTTTTCCTTCCTTAATTTTCAGACAACAAGAAGAGAACTTTTCAGAGGTCTAGGGGACACAGTAAACTTTAAATTCTTAGAGGGTGAGGCTAAAAACCTAGACTGGGTGGAGACTTAATCTGACAGGAAATGGGCACCAAGTTTGCAGCTTCATTCTGAATAAGCCGTGTGTGGAGAAAACAAGTTCTAGACACCAAAGCTTTCTAATATTCAAATGTATTGAGGAATATCCTTGCAGATAGCTCCCTCTCCACTAGAAATTGGATCTATCATCTGCTTGCTATCATTTTCGGTGATAATCATCTGGTGATACGGCAGCTATACCTACTCACAAGCTGGTTTGGTAGCTATGCTTCTCCCTGCATCATTTGAGAATGCTAACATGCTATCCTATCCACCAATACCCCCTATGGTCATTGACAAGCATTCATATTTTTCTTTGATAAGTGAAGCGCAGAAAGATTGTCACAAATTGTTTTTCAGCCAAAGTTGCAGAGCATGGGACCAGGATGAGCATGGTTGGGGCTAAGGCTGTTGGGGCTTTGCTCTAAGAAATCCTTTGACCTGTCTAAGAAAGAATGGTTGACCATTGGCCAATGATCATCGTGGAGATTCAAAAAATAGTACCAAAGGAAAGTGTTTAGATTGTGGTTCATTCCTAGTTTTCCAAATGCTGGGACAAAGGCCATACACATTGAAAAGATGTTAAGTATTTAGGCAATGATGGGCAGATTGTATCAACCTGCTACCATTTGTGAAACAATAATGGGCAGATTGGTTCATACTCTTCCTCCATGGTTGAAAGAGCTGTGAAATTGAAAAGTGTGAACCCTATTTACATCGGATGGGCATGTCTGTTGCAGTTTTTGGGTCTGTCACAGAAGGGCTTCTTACTGAACAAGTTTCAGATGTAATGAAATGTGAGTGGACCCTAAAGAGGATGTACCAAGCCGGTGGGAGCAGTTTTGCTTTATAGATTTCCCATAGATATGTGTGGATACATAAGGAGCATATAGTTTTTCTTTAAGGTTTCCAAGAACAAGTAGCTCCCAATTTTTTTCAAATGGTCAAATCTGTTTGTCTGAGTCCCTTGTCTACCAATGGAAATGCTGATATTGTCAACACCTCTGCTTTTGGAAATGTATTTTCTTATTTAGATATATCCTAAATCAGCTCTTCAACTCTCAAATGAGACCTGAAGAGGTAGAGAATACTAAGAGGAAGCGAATCCCCAAATATTTGGTGGTACTCCACTTGGTCCAAATCTGTGACTTGTTAGTGTAGTAGGAATTGAGGTGTTTAAATTTTGCACTCTCTACACAACTATTGAAGTGATTGATTGATTTATTTTGAATTAGTTGTGATAAACACATGAATTTTAAGTTCTTTATGCATACCATCCAATCAGTTATTTCATTGTGTGGAGAATGATCATTAAGTATATGTCTGTTTGATGCAAGTCTACATGTGGTTTAGGAAACAAATATGCGTACACATTCGTAACTCTTGGCGTATACCAAATTACCAATGGTATTGGTTGTTTTGAGTTATAACCATAAGCTCATGGTCAATTATGTTTATGGATGGATATCCTGTGTGTAACTTGTTTACTGTATTGTCAGTCACAATGGATAATGTGTTAAGACTTTTTTTTTTTATGCGAGACAAAAGGACCCTATTGATTTAAAAAGGTTTCATCAGAGAATAATGTAGGGTGGACAAGATATCTAACCTAAAGAAAAAACAGCAAAAAGTAATAAATGATAACTATGAGACACATGAAAGTTGAAACTTTCCTCCCCGCCAATATTTATATGAGCCGAAGTCCCTCAAAATCTTTACTACGTAGTAAATGAGGCCCCAAAAGCTGCCAAAAAGCAGATTCTAGCATTTCTTCCCGTCCAAAATTAGACACTTGAGTAAAAATTGCACTTTCCATCTAAATGTCATCTTCGAAATTTGGAATATTTAGACAATTTTACTTGAGAGAGAAATAAACGTGATATTAAATAACCATGAATTGTGTACGATTTCTCATCTATGCAACAATACGATATAACTGCACTGATGATGCTCTATGCTGGAATATATGCAGGCCAAGTATGTGGTTTCATCATGTCAGACAGACTCCAGACGGCAGTGGGCTCACTATTGCTCTAAATTATTGTAATGATTCCTGATAACAACTAACATCCTTTTTTACTTTCTTGATGTTCAAGGATTAAATTAATTAACTGCAAAATTGTCTGCAGGGTATGACATGCCTTTTGATATTAAGTATGCTTACTTCAACTTCTTGCAATCAATTCATTACTCGTCACCACTCCATACTCCAACACTGGATGGATTGAAACATGAGGAATCGTGTTCTTATGCATGTACATGCAATTCAATGAAGGAATTGAATGCGAAGACATATCCAGCAAGTGAGGATGCTACAGACGGCTTGAATAACAGTATGAGCTAGCCATGGTGGTTTTCTCTTTCTATGCTCTTTGGTGTGGGGAAGCAAGGGAACTTCAGGATTGAAGACAAGCTCGATTAGGAGCTTCTTTCATTTTATGGTCAAATTCCATAACAGAACTCGAAGAATCCAGTCTGCTGATTGAAGATGATGGGAGCAAATAGAGGTATCACTTCATAATTCATTTGCAGGATGAGCCCCGTAATATATTTTTGACCATTCTGTTTCACTGTGTTGTGATCCTTCTTAACCAACAAACGGAGGATCAGTTTGGTTCATGGAAGAAGTGACTGCTTTCAAACAATGTAACCTTGTATCACCAAAACCAGTTGAAAGGAAATAAGAGAAAACAAAGGATGATTCAGTAGAACTTGTCTTTAGGTATTATGTATGCTATGTATGAGTTACAATGTGTGTTTTGTATGCTTCCTTCATCAGAAACAATAAGAAGCTAATCTAATAACATCTCCTCAATTTTATCTAATAGTTGGGTTGTTTTGCAATTCGGACACACAATATCCAAAGTGTAATGGGTTAATCTAATAGATATATAAGACAAAAGGACAGTGCATTAGGTATTTTTAGCCACTGTGGGATATGAGATAGATTAGATATATGTATTTCTACTTTGTTTGCTGAGAGACAGTAAATAATTTTATTGTCAAATTTAAATAAAATCTCTCATAAGATACCAAGCAACTTTTGAAGTTAAAGTTGATTAAAAGAAATGTTTTGTTTGGTACGATGGAAATAAAGAAAAATGAAAAGTTACAGGGATATATAAAACATTATGTTTAGTAAGGAAAAATAAAATAAAAAGAATGAAAAAGCCAATATATGAGCTTTTTTTTCAACTCACTAAAAATAATCTCTCTAAAATTGAGAGGAAAGTGAATGAAAAGTTAATTATGTATTTTGAAATGTATTTTATTTGTCTATATATCATTTGATAGATACATATATCATATTTATCAATTACATATTATATATACGTTAATTTCATATATAGATACAATGGTAAAATATATATTTATATTTTTTCTAAAAAAATAAAAAAAAAACTTTTTCTGTCTTATCAAACACAAAAAAATCAATCATTCATACTTTCCATCACTCTTACCAAAGACATAAGAGGAAAGGAATGATTCCTCCTTAAAATGGATCATTCTCACTTTTTAACTTTCTATTTTTCCATTTACCCTATCAAATGGACCATAAAAATAAAAACAAATACAAAAGATCATTGATGTGTTGCAGAGAATGAACTGCTATATTCAGTGCATAGAGAATAAATTTCATATTACTTAACCATATCAAGTTGAGACACTAGTTATTCTCCAATCCCACAGTCTTTAGTTACCGAAAAAAAATGAAGTTGAGACACTAGTTTAACTAAGTTGTGTTTTTTTAACTTTGACTAATTTTAATTTTGTATCCGTATATCATATTCTCAAATGTGATATATATTTTCTCTTTGGAATTTAATTGTCCGTGCATTATATATAGTGTTTTATTTTTTAAATCACACATTTGTGAATACAACATTCGAATACAAAGTTAAAATTTGTCAACATTAGAAAGTTTAATTTAGTTAAACTAGTCTGAACACTTATGTGGAAGGCACTAGCCAGCTTGTGGATCACCAAGGCTCATTTAGACCTCATGGAAGATCACCGGGGCCAACCATGTAATAGTCAAGATCAAAATTTCGTTTTGTTACAATATTTTGGTGAGTTTGAAAATACAAATATTTTGGTAATATTTCAAAAATAAGATGTAAATAACAAAAATTGAAAATTTATTTCTAAAATATTGATCGAAATAAGAAAAATATTTCGAAACATAAGTTGAAATACACCAAAAATCTCAAAATACACCAGAATATTTTGAATATAAAAATTTTGATATTTAATTAATAATTTGTTTTGACATCGAAAACACGGGATCTTTTTCGAAATGAAATTAGCTCACATGATTTTGCTAACGACGGACACTAAATAGCAGCCGGACATTCACCTTTCGAGTTGGAACCGGACACTCGTCAACTAGCAAGTTTCTCAAGAACCAATTTTGGATCGATGAGCGTCGATTTTGATTCGGGTTCAAGTTGAAGCATTCTAAATTTACAGAGGTTCAAGATTTAATACAATGGAACAGAATGAATCTACTTAACACTTTATAGCAATTAGTCTGTTTATCACTTCCTTTTCCTCAAGGTAGGGGGGAAGAAAAAGGGTAGAAGTGGACAAATAAGGTCGTGTCTGGATTTGGGGAAGCCATGAAACCTATCATTGATTAACTGTCTTGTGCTTCAAAGTTCAGACACAAAATGGTCAGCTCAGCCAATAGAATTCATAGCACCACACCCGAAAACAGTTCTGTTTCATGTTAACACTACCTTCAACAACTATAAAAAACCCCATCCATACATGACTGGCAACGCAAACATTACTCCGAGGGTAAGCATGATGAGTGAATTTTATACCTACGAATTGAGAATTTTCGGCTTGATGAAACTGTAAGTTTTTAATTATTTTATGTTCCTTTTTATTTGTTTTGTGTGTTTTGATGTTATTTGGTAAGAATCATCATTTAGAAGTAAACAAGATCATTTAGAAGTAAACAAGATCAATTTGGAGCCTAAGTGTTGACTTTTTGAAGGCTAAGCAACAAGAGAACTGAAGGCTTAAAAAAAGGCTAGTGCAGACCCAACACCTTTTTAGCATCCTTGCGCCCACATACTGTCCATTCAGCGCCTTTCCAGTGTCTAAGCGCTTGTGTTGGCTCTGGACGCGAATTTTGACTTGTTTTTGACCCGAAATTGAACCCTAATGATGCATATATGCTAGGATTTGAGTTGAGACTGATATATATTGATTTTGGGGGTTGCTAACATGAGAAAAGACCAAGGATTAATAAAAAATTGAAGACAAGGATCGAAGGAAGTGACACGAAGAAGATTGAACTTGAAGGGTAGAAAAGGATTGAAGATTACAACTAAGTTTTTATTCTTTTCTCTTAGTTTTACTTTTTGATTTTCTGAGATATTGTTTAATTTGAGAATGATATTTTTTAATTACATTATAAACTAAATTCTTATTAAGATTGCAACGAAACCTGATGTTTAGTTAAATTGATCTACTCCCGTTTCTAGTTTTATTGATCATACATGAGTTGTTTGTCATATTTTGTGCTTAATATATAATTGTGTGGCCAATTGATAACCTAGATGAAATTGAAAGATGAATTCTAGGTTTGGATCTGAATATGATGATATGCGTCTAGTTAATTTTTCGTAGGATTGAATTACTGGGTTTGTATATAAGATAAGGATATACTTATATGCCGTGTGTAACTATTATGAGACTCTGAACTTAATGAATATATTCTAAATTATTTTACATAGGAATATAGTAATTTAGTTGGGATATATATTTTTATCTAACTATCGGAAGATGTTTGATAAATAACTTTGAATTTTCAGTTAACAACTTGTTTTGATCAATTAACTAGAAAGAGAGTTAGAAAGGTTTATACGAAGTATTAGGGAAGTTGTAATCTTAACTTCTTTTATCCGGTAAATTTAACACTTAATTATTAAGTTTAGATTTAATTTTAAATTAGTAATTTCATAGTCTAATTCTAATTATTTTAATAAAATTGAATTGATACAAAATTAGTACTTGAATATTATTAGCAATAATTCTCCGTGGGAACGATACTCTACTTATCACTTTATTAGTTGTTGATCGTGTATACTTGCACGTAAATTATCAATATCAAATTCGGACAACAAGTTTTTTGAGCCGTTGCCGAGGAATTATTGTAGTAAATATTTCAATATTAATTTCAATCAATTTAATCTTAGTTTAAACTTATTTAATTTTTTGTTTTAATTGTTTTTGCAAGTACTGTTGAATTTTGTATGCAAACACGATCTACAGGTTAGAAGTTACTACCGTATGAAGACGAAATCGAAAGAAGGCTTCGCAACTTGCGAAAACAGTGTCAAGAAGTAAACAATCAAGAAGCTATAACTGAAGATGAACATAAATCGTTGCGGGATTATGATATGCCGCTTGTTACAGAAATATAATCGAGTATTCAAAAGCCGGCAATTCAAGCAAATAATTTTGAAATCAAGTTGGGTACCATCCAAATGATTCAGAATTCAGTGCAGTTTGGGGGTTTGCCTAACGATGACCCAAACGATCATTTGGTGAGTTTTCTGGAGATTTGCGACACGTTCAAATACAATGGGGTTTCTGAAGATGCGATTAGACTTCAACTTTTCCCTTTCACACTTCGTGATAAGACAAAGAGTTGGTTGCATTCATTGCCTCCAAGTTTTATTACAACGTGGACAGATTTAGCTCAAAAATTCTTAGCTAAATTCTTTCCACCAGCCAAAACTGCAAGAATGAGGAATGATATCACATCGTTCACACAACATGATTCTGAGACTTTATATGAAGCTTGAGAGCGATTTAAGGACTTATTCTGAAAATGTCCTCACCATGGTATTCCTAGGTGGTTGCAAATTCAGACGTTCTACGATGGGTTGTTTAGTGCTACCCGAACCAGTATCGATGCAGCTGCAGGTGGGGCATTGATGAAAAAAAATTTCGATGAAGCTAATGAGTTATTGGAAACGATGGCCGCCAACAATTATCAGTGGCCCTCTGCAAGGATCAACCAACCAAAGGTAACAGGGATTTATGAAGTCAATGCAGTGACTACATTGATTGTGCAGGTTGCTACATTAACAAAGAAGATTGATGCTTTAGGAGTGTAGCCTGTTAAGAGTGTGGCAGTTGTGTGTAAATTGTTTGTCGAGAACCATTTGAGCAATCAATGTGTAATTAATCCAAAGTTGGTACAATATATTGGTAACCACAATAGGTAGCAATATAGCAACAATTTCAATAATTATAACCCTGGTTGGAGGACTCATCCGAACTTGTCTTGGAATAATAATCAAGCCCAAACTTCTACTCCAACGCAATCATACCCACCAGGCTTTTAGAATCAAGTTCCACCACAGTAGCGAAATAAGTCAAATTTGGAGGAGCTACTTTCCAGGTACATATCACAAAATAAGACAACGATGAACAGTATGGAAATATAAATCCAAAACCTAGAAAACCAAATGGGTATGCTCGCTAATGCCCTTAACAATCGACCTCAAGTCACTCTACCTAGTGATACAGAGATCAATCCAACAAAAAGGAAGGTAAGGAGCACTGCAATGCTATTACATTACGAAGCAAAAAAGAGTTACCTGAGGTTGTTGGTGGAACTCCAAAATAATCAAATGGAGATGATAGTGAGGGTGAAATAAAAGATAGAAAAAATGTGGAACATGAAAAGAAAGAAGAAGATCCAGTTGCATGTTCTAATGGAGGTAAGCAGAGTCCTATTGTGCCTCCCGTGCCGTTTCCACAACGT